AAATTGTTTATAAATTAAGGGAACATTTTGAGGTTATTAGTAACCATCTGTGGACAGATTCAAGTGTGAATGTTTATTTTTATAAAGGAAGAGGTTTAAGCAATAGGGAGTTAGATAGAGGTTCTTTTTAAAAAAATATTGTATAAAAGAAACTATCAATACAACTTGTTTGAGAACCTGATTGCGATCAGTAGGTGTTGTTGTGGTGGTCAGACATATATATATATATATATATATATACAAAAGTATCAAGTCTCATGTGTCATATGACGAGACGTAATCTCGTAGTTATGTAATCATGTGTATCCACACGTGATAATTATTAGCTTTGGTCATTAGAATACAGCAACTGTTTGATACGGTTACCGACAGTAAATATACATAGTTCGTAATTGTAGAAGAACCGATCTTCAACAGTATCAAATGTAAGCAAGGATATTCTAAGCGAATATACGAGAATCCAATTAAGAAATTGTTCTGCAGTTCTTTTTTTTCTTTTCTTTTTTTTGGAACGTTCGAAAGAAAAGAATCGAACATTCTTTTTTTCTCAATTGGACAATTCAACCTCCTCTCCTGGAATAAGTCTAAGTTATATTAAGTGAGCGTAAGAAATTAACATGATGAAACCTCAAAGAAGGCAAACTATGAAAAGGAAGAGTGGAGAAATACCAGAGAAGGAACTTCTCCATTCTCTTAGAATGTCATTAGGACATATTGGGAATAGTTTGGAGAGAGGAAGGGTGACTAGAAAGAATGGCTTTAAGAATGGACGAAATGTCAGACAGAGCAAGTCCTACAGCTACAGTGGGCATAGTGGATATATCACCTCCAGGAGAGTTGTCCGAATATATTTATGATGGACACAATATGCCACTACAGCAATTTGTGTTGAGAACACAGGCAGTCCTAGAAGCCTACCCGCATGCAACTGATAGGGTTAAGTACCATTACCTTCTAAAGGTTACAAAGGGACTACAGCAAAAGTACGTCCTGACCTGACCTATGAGTATGCAAAAAATCCCTTTCAGGACATATGGAAGGTGTGGAAGAGTGGAATCGGAAAGGATGGACCAACCATCAATGACACCATAGAAAAGATAAAATTAGGCTTTGGTCAGACTTTAGAAGAAGGTATCATTGGCCATCTTACAGAGATATCTAATGATAGAACAATTGGAGAACAGAGCTACTTCAGAAGAGGTATCCTTCCTTTGTTCAGCTATTTTATCTCTGCTGCCTAAAGGGCTACGCAGCAGGTTCCTTGAAAAGTTCAGCTTGGAAGTTAATGAGTCCTTTCAATCAGCACAATACTCCTAGGGTTAAGCCCAAATACAAAACAGTGAGCGGAGTAACTGCTACAAACTCTCCAACTATTTCACAATTGCCTCTGACAGTGTTTGAAGTAAAGAATGAGAGGATATTGGCATTAATGGATGCAGGCTCACAGATCTCAATGGTGTCAAGAGAGTGTGCCACAAGACTTAAGCTGGATAAAGTTGGAGAAGTAGGCTTGCAACTAAGAACACTCCTTGCAGAGAAAAGGCAATATGTCCAGCAGGAGAATAGTAAAGTATCCATTAGGTTGGGTCTGTATTGGTAGAAAAATGCAGGATCCATTAAGCCTACTTACTCAAGTGGAGCTGGGAGCCAATGTCTGCATCACTACGCAATCAGTTGAGCAACAGGAATCTCTAGTGGAGGATGATGAAGTCAAAGCTAGAGATACCTATGAAGGAGAAAAGCTCAGCATAAACGATGTTAAAGCACTGGAGCAATTCAAAAATGAATTTGACATCCAAGAGCTAAAGGCTGCCATTCCTTTCAAAAGGAATGTCAGAGATCTGAGGCTGAACAGTATGCTAGCAGAGTGTAGGTGGAGGAGTCTCTTAGTGAGATTTAAGAGAGATCCTGTATATGAGAGAGAATATGACCAGTCTGTCTATGAATACATAGAACAAGGGTTTGCTACTTAAGCAGGCTCCATAGAGGTGGCCTGGTATATAGCTCATCATGCGGTCTCCAGCCCTAAAAAGGATACCATAAGAGTGGTGTTTGACTGCAAGGCGCAGTATAAAGGGTTGGGACTAAATGATGTTATAATGACATGTCCAAATCATTTGAATGGTCTGTATGACATTCTAGTTAGCTGGAGGAGAGGTCTCTTTTTTATAGTGGCAGATATCAAGAAGATGTTCTGTCAGGTCAAATTAAAGGAGAAGGACCTACCCTATTTCGAGTTTCTATATTGGGATAAGACAGTGTCCAATAAGACAATGAGAAATGTCAAGACATTTGTCATGACAAGACATGTGTTTGGGGCAACATCGAGCCCATTTGTAGCATGTCGGACTCTAAGTACATTGCTCCAGGAGAGTGATTTGCTCTTGCAGGAAGCAAAACAAAGAGTTACTAACCACTTCTATGTGGATGATCTATTGCTGCCAGACAATAACTAGTGTAAATTATTAGAAATTTACCAAGGTACACTGAGCACCTTGAATGGTAAATTCCAGTTAGCTAAAAGCTATTCGAATAATGGTCAGATAAGTGAGAGACTAAAAGAACTAGACCTGGAATTCAAAATTCCAAAACAAATTCTTGGCATTTCTTACAATGAAAAGACTGATGAAGTCCTTGTAAACCTGCTACCCTTACAAAAGGCTGTAGCTACTACAAGAGAACTTGCTAGTGTCATAGCCAAAGTCTATGACCCATTAGGTCTGGCTGTAGCAAGACTGTTACCCTTCAGGTTACTGTTCTCCGAGATAATAAGGGACAATGGTGATTGGGATACAGAGCTATCCAGCAAACAGCAGACAATACTACAAAGACTCAGGAAGTCCACCCAAGGATCAATAAGAGCCAGTAGATATGTTGGCGATAACAAGCTGAAGATGGTTTGTGACACCTCCTTAAAAGCACATTGTGTGACTGCTTATCTAGGGGAAGGTAAAAAGATGACTCTGTATATGCCAAGGCAAGAATCAATGAAAAGAATGTCAATTCTATGCCAAAGGCAGAGCTACAAGCAGCAGTATTGGCAGTGAGGCTGTACAAAAAATTGAACTTGAAGGGAGTAGAAGTTAGTTTTCATACCAAAAATAATGCAGTCTTCAGACAGATACAAAATGCAGATGCTAAGCTGGATGCATTCACGAGAAACAGAATAAGATACATTACCAGTAACTAAAATCCTTCTTCTTGGAAAAGGATTGAAGGCAAGTCAAATCCAGCTGATCTCGGTACCAGAAGGAGGAAGCATTCAGATGAACAATGGCTGACGCCTGTTATATCAGGTATGACTCAGTGCGTATCTCTGGGGAACATCTTTAGACCATTTTCCCATGACTGGGAATAGATGGTGCGAATAGCACAACTTATAGTGAAGTGGGTACACTGGGACATGCCAGTATACCAACAAAGAAGACTAGCAATAGCCTACCTGTTGAGGGATGAGCAAAGAAGTAACTTGGGCAATAAGTTCCCGGAGCTGGAACCATTTAAGGACTCCTACAGAGTTATCCGAATAAATGGAAGGTTGAGAAATGCTCACAGGATGCCATATGATGCACGACACCCCATCCTGATAACAAGAACGACAGGCTTGTTTAGAGCCATAGTCTTCACAGCTCACAAAGAAGCAGCACATCAGGGTGTACAAAAGACCAGGGCATGGATCAGAAAGCAATTCTGGTTCACAAAGGCACAGCCCAGATAAAGACCATAGTCGAAACATGCCCCTACTGCATACGATATAAGACAAACAGGACTTGCAGTATTTGGCAAGCTCCTCTACCAGATGTGCGCACTGAGAAGCCACTGCGATCCTTTAGAAATGTAGGAGTAGATCACGCAGGACCATATTACACTGATGAAGGTGAACAAAGATTTGTTCTACTCATAGCCTGCTACCAAACGAGGGCAGTACACTTGGAGATCTGTACATCAACATCCTTTGGACACACAAAGGAGGCATGGACTAGGTTTAGGCAAGACGAGGTCACCCAGAGAATGTACACTCAGATGGAGCTGGAGCATTTAGGAGATTGTCTGAGGAAATGGAAGAGCAGGAATCTGCTGGAAACTAATACCATCTAATTCTCCTCATAGAGGAGGATTATGGGAATCTTTAGTAAAACCAGTTAAGAGCACATTACAAGTGCTAAATAAGGAGACACTGACAGAGGAAAGCCTAAGGACAGCAATCACTGTGACCGAAAGCATTGTCAATCAAAGACCATTGACAACTATCCTGGAGGATCACACAGAAACCCTCCTCACTCCAGCATCCTTCTTATGGATTCAATCCAAGGAAAGGAACGAAATAAGAAGCTCCTATGAGCAAATCAAATCTATCAGGTCTATGCTGGAGAAAAGATGGTTCCAGGAATATACCTCCACTTTACAGGCTACCTCGAAATGCACAAGCACAGTGGGCAAATCCCAAAGGTCAACAATCTGGTAGTCCTAGTCAGTGACTCCTTAAGACGCCATGATTGGAAAATAGGGCGCATATAGAAGATAAAAAAGTCAGCAGATGGGCAACCCAGGAATTTGCAAATTCTAACAGAAAGGTCCTTAGTGTGGCGAGATATGAGAAGGGTAGTCCCATTCTAAAGAAACACGAGGATTAGGTTAAGAAAGGCTGCAATTGATAAAGGCTGCAGGTTGATTGAAAAAGGCTCCAAGCTGATTAAAAAAGGCTGCAACTGATTAAAAAAGGCTTCAGGCTTACCAAATATGCTGAATTTCAAATAGATTTCATAATGTTTCTACCAGTTTTTTCTATTTAAATAGAATGTTTTACACTGTACTATAACAACAAGTGTGGTCACATATATGTAAAAAGTTTGAATTATTTTTATTATATGTTATATTATTTATCATATGAAGAGAGTAAAGACTTCAACATAAATGCAATGTATTTATTGTACATCATTTTTGCCAGATATACTCTCTAACCTGTGAAGCAAATCATTTTCTTCAGAAGATAATTTCAATATGGCATCTCTCTGTTATGCTTGTAAGAAGAAAATTAATAAACAAAAAAGAGGTGTATGCTCTCTATGTAAGCATACAACTCATTGGGTTTGTTTAAATGGTAAGTTAAATGTTCATATTTTTCAATTTGACACCATTTTTCTTAATATATAGATGGCTTTTGTGAAATTTGCCTGAAAATCAACAACTATTCATTACAAATTGTTTTAAGAAGATGTGATGAAAATACTTTAACAGCAAAACTTCCTAAGAGAATTGATCATCAAGAAATTTTTAGAAATAATCAAGTGGAAGCCACTGCTGATGACATTAATGATCATTTGATTGCAAATAATGAAAAAGACAAATCTGCCAATGATGGTGAAAGTATTAAGCAAATAGAAGGACCAATAGATAATGTAGTCATTAAAAATACACAAATACCACAAAGAGAAGTTTTTGCTGAAGATGTTACAATGGAGCATTTGAATACAAAAGAGGATTATTTTCCTTTTGATCACAACACAAACCAACCTGAAGACAGCTCATTTGAAGATGTAGATGATGTTGTTCTAAGGAGTGATGGATCATTTAAAATTTTCCAAAATGGGAGTCAAAAAGGAAAGCCATTACTTGTTCATGATGGATTTTCATATACTATCAAAAACCAAAGAAATAAATCAAGAATTTGGAGATGTAGTGGCAATAATAACAAACAAGATCAATGTCCTGGTAGTGTCAATGAGAATGATGGTAATTTTACTTTGGGTTCAAAATCACACAACCATTCTCCCAAATTAAATTTAAAAGAAATTATTGATATGAAAGTTACCATAAAACAAAGATCAGAAATGGACACTCAAACAAGTGCCAAGAGAATTGTTGAAGATAAATTTATCCAAAAACAAAACATTTCTAATTTTCCCAGTATGAGTAGCTGTAAACAAGTGGTGAGTTATCACAGATGAAAAAATCAACCAGAGGAACCAAAAACATTGTTTTTTCCTTTACATCACACTTTCTTACCAGATGGTTTTCTTAAAAATGATCTATCAGTAAACAATGAGTGAATTTTAATATTTGCAACTACTAAACAAATGGAATTACTAGCATTATCTAAAATATGGTATATGGATGGCACCTTTAAGGTTGTCAATCCTCCATTTAAGCAATTATTTTCAATTCATAGCTTCCTAAAGAAGAATGGTGAACTAAAACAAGTTCCTCTGCTCTTTGCTCTACTTTCTTCTAAGAAAAGAAAAGCATACTCAACTTTATTCAAAGTAAATAATAAATATATTTACATCTTAAAACTTATTAATAACATCTTGTTTATTCAGGCAGTAAAGGACTTAATTGGTGGTTACTCACCAAAAAAATATGCTTAGATTATGAAAAGGCAATCTGGAAAAGTGTGGCAAAATATTTTCCAGAAACTGAAATCAAAGGTTGTCTATTTCATTGGACTCAAGCAATTTTTCGAAAAATTCAGGTAATAATTAAAATGTTTTATTGTCTTTTGCCATATTTTAATATATATCTTTATAGGAATTGGGATATTCATCTGACTACAAAAAACATACTGGACAGTGGACTGAGATGAAGCTTCTCATGGGTTTACCATTTTTGCCTGCTGATATCATTCCCCAGGAATTTAACAAAATAAAAGCTCATTTAAATACCTTGGAAAAGTTATCAGATTTATTACATTATGTGGAAAACACTTGAATAATCAATGCTACTTGGACACCAGCTACTTGGTCAGTATTTGACTTAGCTATCAGAACTAATAATGATGTAGAAGGATTCCATAATAGATTAAACCTAAATATTGGAAATGCCAAATCTTTTTACAAATTAGTTAATGAATTAAAAAGGGAATCAGATCTGGTACCTCTGTTTCAAAAGATGCTGTGTGAAAGAAAATTAAAAAGATATCAGAAGAAAATTTATGTAAACCTACAAAGAAAAATATTTGAGACTTGGGATAAATTTAAGAATGGCCAAATTACTGCACTACAAATTATAGAAAATTGTTCTAAAGTCTATTTTCATAGTTGAATTAAATATATAATCAAATGTTTTTATTCTTTTCAATAAACCATATAATATTCATTAAACTACTTTCCATTTCCAATCTTTATAAAAATTCACTTGCAGCCTTTTTTAACCGGTCCCGAAACCACGAGGTTCTTTAGGGGGGGGGGTGAGTGTTTGAGAACCTGATCACGATCAGTAGGTGTTGTTGTGGTGGTCAGACATATATATATACATAAGTATCAAGTCTCATGTGTCATACGACAAGATGTAATCTCGTAGTTACATAATCACATGTATCCACACGTGATAATTATTAGCTTTGGTCATTAGAATACAGCAACCGTTTGATACGGTTACCGACAGTAAATATACATAGTTCGTAATCGTAGAAGAACCGATCTTCAACAGAGTGTGAGTGTACCTGGGTGTGAATGTAATTGAGTGTGAACGTGCCCCAGGTGGTTCACACCCTCTTTTCTTTCATTATATATTTGTTTATATTATTGACTAGATAGAGTACAGACATTGAGTTGAGAATGAGTTTATATACAATTTATTATTGACTTTGAATACAAACCCTGGTAGTAAATATTATAATAAATTCCTCATTATGAATTACTATTTCAAAAAAGAAAATGTTGACAAAAACCAGCCATTTTAAAAGTAGAAAGGGTTGAAACACAAATTCATTTCGAACAGTGTATACTTGGATAGGCAATATATATTTCTTGAATAAATCTGGATCAAGTCCTTCTTTCAAGATTTAACAGAAATAAATATAACATTTTCATGACTGAGAATTTTTTTTGATAATCATCTGCATTTGATCTGATATCATAAAATGGCTTTCAAATGCCAAAATTGTGATGGAAAGAAAAAATATTTGAAATGCTGCCCTTGTAAGAACGTTTTTCATCGACCTTAACATACAAAATATATGTGAAATATATCAAATGCAAAGTGATACTTTTTCTATACATTTTTTTGAAATTGGAAGAATCACAGGAAAACAAAACACTGACAAAGTTGTTGATACACCATAGCCTTTAATACAAAATTGTCTTATACAGTTTCAATAAAAAATTTTGGGCAGGATTGTCCTTTAACTGAAAAAAGTGGAAAGAAAAAAAAATTTTGTAATGAATTTTATCTTTAAATTTGGTTCTATATTCTTAATAATTGTATTTTCAGTTGAAATCAATCAACAAAATACAAGTATTTTGTTCAAACAATATGTAATAAGAAAATAAGCTTCTAGTTCTAATTAAGCAAGTTTAAACAACCTGAAGGTCAGAGAACTGTACTATCAACTGTTAATTTTGTAGGGTTTATTTAATCTTTTAAGGGTTCATAGTTTACAAATTTTAATTTTCCTAAAAATAATTTCAATGTACTTTGTTCTTTTCCTAATTCCACAGTGGCTCCATCTATTATGGTCAAAGAATCTATTCCTTATGTAATAGGATTCTTTTTAAAGTTCCATCATTCTAATACAAATAACCTTCAATATAGGTTAGACGTATGTTTTGCCCAGGAAATAGATAAATATCATTACTGACATCATGAAATCTAAGATCACCTGTTTTCACTGAACCAATTTGAAAAAAACGACAGCAACAAACTACAAACTCTTTTTCAGATCTACTCAACATTTTCATTTATAGATACCTTTTCGACAATTAAATAAAATGGAAAAAATAGGCCAAATTTTGAACAAAATTAATTGGAAAATAAGAAAAATTATAATACACGTTGAATAGTTTTTAAAACATTTGATGCAGCTTTCTCACTGTGTTATTGAATTTTTGGGCATAGTTAAGTCAACAGCAGCCTGATGTAAAAAAAAATAAATGAGCCTAATTTTAGATTGATTCACAATCATAAAATATCCCCAAAAACTGGTTTAAGAATATTCCAACCTATAGTTAATAGTATATGGAAAATTTTATTAATATAGCAGAATATACACTTAGAAGTAGTGACATATTCATATTTGGAAATTAGACATAAAGGAACTTAAAAAAGACAGAACTTTATAAAGAATGATTAGAAAAATCTCATTTAAATTCACTAAGAAAGAGAGAGGGTTCTTCCTGTTTGTGTCAACTGATAGCCATTTTGGCCGTTTTAATTACAACTATTAATTTTGTTGCTGCAAATATTTTCTTTGACTTTAAATTAAGTGATGTTTTCACTATTCATTCTGTACACTCTAATGTATTTTCTGTATTCTAGTCTTAAAGCAAATTAATCACAAAAAATATCTGTCGAGAAGTTTGACAAGAGAAAAAGAGGAATACTAAAAGAGAGGAAGGGTATTCCTATCACTAAAGGTTCTTTCTCGGATAACCCTTCAACACTCTCTCAATCTCAGAGAGTATGGTATGTCCAAAAATTAATCAAAAACACTCTGGGAGAGGAATTTAATAAATTCAAGGAATAGACGATGAATGTGTTCAAGAATGTAATGACTGTGTATAGTAATGGCAATAGCCAGATCTCAGGCAGCCTTGAACAAGACCAGCATATCTCTATTTGAATCCTTCTCAAACAATGTCAAAAAGATCGGTAGGAAAAAAATGAGAGTTCCTGATTCAATCATTTAATTTAATGATTCCAGGAATCAGTCAGTTTCAATAGATGATTTATCTCTTGCCTGTTTCTTTCAAAGTATATTTATTAATAAAGAAGTCTTTGTGGTTTTGTTTTGTCTATTGCCAAACCTCTTCCATTGTTCCAAACCCTTCAACCCTGATTACAAAACAACAGTTCTAGAATATTATTTCTTCTAACTATAACCATTTTTAAACTAAAACTTCATTTCTAAAAAAAGGAATTGTTTTGATCCTGCTTTTTCTTCGTGTTAATGATAAATATTAGTTATATTCTTACTGTACAGTTTGTAAACTGGTAACTGATATTTTCCGCCAGAGAATCGTATAAATTACAACATTCAACATTAATTTCTTTTAAATTGTTTGCTGAATTTTGTAGTTTGTCGCAAATACACAGCAAACCAGTTTCCATATTTCTATTCAATGCCAAGTTTATTATTTGAATTTTATAGCATTTTATTAATAAATTTCCAATAATTTTGCATTTATTCTCATCTAAATTGCAACAAGTGAAAACCAATTCCTTTAAAGTGTTGACAGAGTTTTCCAAACCTTGGCAAATGTCAAAAAGTCCATCTTTTCCAATATTTTCATTAAACCCAATATTTATAGTGTCAATTCTTGAGCACTTTTTCAACATATTCATAATGTGATGGCATACATTTCTATTCAAATTTGACGAACTGATATTGATTTCTCTTAGATTATTTGACGAGTTTTCTAATCCTTTGCAAACATTTATTATTCCGTCAGTCATATTTTCATTCCATATTTCGTCAAAAGATGACCAATTGCTGTTGTTCATTAATAAGTAACGTCCATTAGTGTTGAGTACATTCTGGAGTAAATTGCGTAATTGCAGATGAAATGCGTCAAAATTCATTTTCTTTAAAGTGCTAAATGATTTTCTAATCCCTTCCCAAATGTACAATCCATTAACAATATTTCTATTATTAGATAGATTGATAATCTCAATTTTGGAGCAAGAAGAGAAAAGAGTCTCAAGAATTGAGCACAAACTCTCATTAATATTACACGAAGCGAAATTGATTTCTTTCAAACTATTTAACGAGATTTGAAGACCAAAGCAAATAAACAGTAAGCCAAATCCCATATTTTCATTAAATTCTAAATTAATGGTCTCAATTCGTCTACAATTCTTCAATAGACAACCAATAGAGATACACTGATCCTGAGATAAATCACACAAAGATAAATCAATATCCTTAAGGCTGTTGGCCGACTTTTCTAGTGATTGGCAAATTAAGATTAGTCCTTTTCCCATTTCTTTATTCTCTGATAAGTTAATTTTTTCAATATTACAACAAGACTTTAATAGATTTTCAATAAGGCTACAAGACTTTTCTTTCAAATTGCACAAAGCAAAATTTAAAACTGTCAAACTGTTGACAGAATGAGAAAGTCCATTACAAATGTTATTCAATCCATTTTCCATATTGAAATTCCAAGCTAAATTTATCAATTCAATTTTGGAGCAATTCATTAACAATTTTCCAATAGAATTGCATTGTTTCTCATTTAAATTACAACAATAAAAGTTAATTTCCTTTAAACAGTTGGAAGATTTCTCTAACGACTGGCAAATTTCCTGTAGGCCATCATCTCCCATATTTCTATTCTGTCCCAGATCAATTACTTCGAGGTTTGAGCAAGTTAACAAGAGATTTTTAATAAAATAGCATTGATGATTATTGAATTGACAATAGTTGAAATTAATTCTTTTCAAACTGTTTACAAATGATTCAACACCTTCGCAAATATATAATAATCCATTTCCCATATTGGAATTACCACCAAGCCTTATACTTTCAATTCTAGAGCATTTTAAAAGCATTTTTCCGATATAAAAACATTGTTGTTCGTTTAAATTACATTTTTCAAAGATAATCTCCCTTAATGAATTCGATGAATTTTGCAGTTGTTCACAAATTTCTCTTAGATTATCGCCCACTTTAATATTATTAGATATATCTATTGTTTCTATTTTAGTGTTTCCCTCTAAAAGTTTCATTAATCTTTGTACATCGTCAGTATTTTTACAGTTTTGCGAAAAATCTATGAAAGAGTTTGATGAATCTTTTTCCGCTCGAAACGAATATAGTGTTTTCCTATTGAATTGCTCAATTTTATAACAAACTTCCGGTTCGTTTAATAATTTTACATTTGTTTTGCCTTTTAAAAATATGTCTATTAATTCTTTTAAATTTTCATTGCAGTGTAGATTTTGCAGTACATTCTTAAATTCTGTAATCTTCTTCTTACCAATGGTATCTAATTGCTTTTTAATCAGTTGAAATTGTTCTTTAATCTTATTTATCCAAATAATTTCAATATCGTCAATTTCTTTGAGTTGATTTTTAATCATTTCCTTTTCACTTTCTTCGTAGGAATTCATTAGTTTTAGACGTTTTTCTTGATTTTTCATTGTATTAATATCACATTCGAAATGGTTGATTTCACAACATTTAGAGCATAAATCGACAATTTTATGAGTTTTACAATAGAGCGACGCCTCTTTTTTGTGTTTTATACATAGCTTTTCAACAGTTGATACATTTTGAAGAGAACTCTTTAAACTATTCTTTTTAATCTTTACTATTTTGCCTTTAGGAATTTTATGCTTTACTTTACACAAACAGCACGTAATTTGCGTATTGTGAATGGCTAACTTTTCCAGGCATTCTCTGCAGAATGTATGCTGACAGGGTAAAATTCTCGGATCCTTTTCCAGCCATATATCCAAACAAATGGCGCATATCAGATTTTCTTCATCAATTATATAGCTATTGGTCGCCGCCATGCGATGTTGTTATTCAATTGTTCACAAGAAAGAATTTAAGCAAAGCGTATAAAAGAATAACAGTCAATTAACAGTCTTCAATACATATTGAACAAACGATAAGATAAACTAATAAATCTGTATTGAACAGCAAAAAAACACCAACAGATTTAAAAGTATTGACAGGTTGGCAAAAGATTATTTTTCACACTTTTCAATCTTAATTTTGGCAAAAGGGGGCGCAGAGAGAGAGAGAGGGAGAGAGAGAGTTTTAATTAAACAATTTATTTGTACCTATAATCAGTATGGAACCTTTTTGTTCAATTTCATGCAAAATCTTCCATTAGAATGAAAAGATTGAGTTGTTTTTTCCTTTTTCCATCCCTAGATAAATAGATAGATAGTTAGACAGATTTGAACAAAGATAATCATGTAATCATTATTAATTCATGTATAGATAATTAATGTTGCATATCCGTAAAAAGTTTTTAATACCATTCAATTATTAAAAAATGATGTTTAAAAAATTGTTTAATTAACTTCTATTGTAATGTATTCTATTTGAAAAGAAAGAAAAACACAATGAAAAAGTGTTCTTTGAGAAATTTTTGCCCATTTTTTGTCTTTAATGAAAAGGCAAATCAGCCTGTTCAATTGTCTATTGTGGTTTTTTGTACATAGTCAATTTGATTATCTATATAAATAACATTTGCTAGTTTTGCCTATGATTTTTCATGCTTGGAATCATTTATGGCATTTAAACTACCTTTTCTCTTTCCTCTTCTTCTTATTCCCTCTTCTATTTCGTTGGACAATTTAGGTTTTTATAGTCAACTATTGCTGCATTTTCATTTCTTTATTTCGTATTAACAAGCTATTTGTCATTATCATTTCCTATTAGGTGCAACATATAGAATTTATGCAAATACAGTTGCTGTACCCGACATTCCGTTCTATCCTCCAATTTGGAATGGACAGCATAGACAGAAAATATCTATTGAGAAATGTTTAAGTGTATGTAGCTTGTATAATGATTGCAAGCAAGTAGACGCTTTATAAACTATTCTTATACACTTTCAACTCTTTTAATGATTACAGACGGATTGACTATAAAGTAATACTTCAGTTATGCTATTTAAAGAATTCAACGGGAAACACCAGACATCTTAATGATTATATTCTAATTGTAAAAGATTCGCAAACTGCTATTGCAAAAACTCCAATAGTTATTTACGAAAACAAGGCTGCTGTTCCGGAACAGCCATTTAACGCTTCCATTTGGGGCGGGGCCTATAAATTGGTGCCATTTGAAGAATGTTTAGACGTTTGTAATTTGTATTCTCAGTGCAGGTTTGTACGCAATATTTTTTCTATTCAAATGTCATGAATGGACTAGAGAGGTTGAAAGAGGAGAGACGCGCCACATTAAAACTATATTTTAACTATTGTATGCATTATCTCTGCAGGGCAATTGTTTATTCTTTAAAAGACGAAATTTGCCATTTAAAAAGCAATTACTCAGCAAATATACCACAATTGGAAGCTCTACTGGCAATAAAAGGTTTATAACTTGAAGTATTTTACGAATATGCTGATATTTTGGGAATATTGTTAAAAACGGTCACCAAACGGTCACTGTTTTCAACAGTTCCCCCTCCCTCCTCCCATTACATTTTGGGATGATATTGATAGAAAATAGTTAACTTTTTTATTCGATTTGAAATATTCATTTAAACATATTATAGTGTATTTAATCCTATCACAATATTCTTTCAACATTCAATATCTTTTTCCCTTTTGACAATAAAAACATGGGAAATATTACACACAAAACAATGGATATGAATTTGAAGAAAAATGTCCAATCTGTTAATAGCCAAATTTTATACTCTCTCTCTCTTTCTCTCTCTCTCTCTCTGTTAATAGGAAGAGTAATTGTGTAATGATGAAGAGTATTCTTCTTCTTGCAAAACACAACACATATTGTCGAAACAAATTTGTGGTGATGATGATTATAATGATGACACTGATAATGATAAATGACATTTTTTGATATAATGTATATATATATATATATATATATACATTTATTACACTACTCAGTCAATACCAATGTCCAAGTGTTATGGAGAGGAAGTTGTCAATTGTTCATACATTATATATATTGTCATAATTTGCAATGATTGCTCAATTGCAAATACGAAAGAAAATTGCATAGAACTATATGATAGATATCTGAACAAGTTATGTACAACTAGAGCTGTCATAGAAGATGGAATTATGAAGGAAAAGAGTATTCTTTTTATTGATAATCATATTTTAAAGAATAAAACTATTGAAAAGATATCAACAGTTAATAATTCAAAATTACACTTTACTATTCAAAGACAGACGAGGTTAGTAAATACAAATTTCTCATTTTTTCTCACCATTTAATACTTTATATTGTTTGTCAAATATTTCAAAAAAATGAGATGAATTTCTGTTGGGATTACAACAATGATTCGGATAATGATTACGATAATAAAAGACTACTTGATTCAGTAATATCTAACTATTTCTATCTCTATGGAAACTATTATTGTGGTAGATTGTCATCATCAGAAGGGAAAGATAATTGGTAAAAACCAGAGTTTAACAATAACAAAAGAAAATTCCTCATATTTTAAAAGATCAATGTTCAGATAGAATTTCAACTGTGCTTTAAAAAAATAGCAGCAGTAAAAACTTGGTTTTGTAGATTAGTGTTAAAATCCACTCATATAACTGTGTACTATTAGGCACAGTTTTTTTCCTACATCAATCTGTCCATGTTATTATGAACAATGTAACTGTGTGAAGAAAATGCATTTAATGTAATATATTATATGAATATCAAATTTGTAATGAAAAGTACTGTCCTAGGGAATTGCTAAACATTAAAACTAACTATTTCATTATACTTATCTATTGTAAGTTGATTTACAGTAGGGCCAGAGTCCAGGTACTCCTATCTTATCCTTATTTCATATGCTTCATTACCAAACAACCTTTGATTATGTAGACATCCTCATAGCATGTGGCCAACAATAAAATTTCATAAATCATTAGAGCATTTGAACATTGTTTGACAATATAAAAGATGAATGACTGTTCTGGAAATGGTGGTTTATTTTGATTTAAACTTTCAATGTCAATTTCCTCTTCATTCCCCATTGGGTTGCTTAACTCGAAATTATAATTTTCTGATTGTACCTGTTATGAAATCTTTTACAATATATCTATTAGAGATAAAACAAAATGTTTCGCTTGGTTGAAATATCAGCTAATATACGTTTTCTCTTTTACAATCTAATTCCCTTTCTATGACATTCAATGACTTATTTACATGAAACAATATCGTTAAGTGTTTGGAGTGCTTGATCTCTTCTTTTCATTGTTTGATTTCAGTATTTTTAAAGCCTTGTCCATTTTGCATTTAAATAAATGAATTACTGATTAATAGAAAAGTCATTGTTCCTGAATTACAGATTATAAGTACGTCTCAATAAATATCGAGTTAGAAGCCTTTGAGGACAGTTTAAAAATCAGTTGAAGAGACTAAAGATTTCTTCTTTAAACTAACAATAATTTGGAAGAATAGCAAATATTCCTGTCTGGAAGCAATTGAACCAATGGAGAATAATCAGATGGATAATAAAGGACAATTAAAAATTTAAAAATAACTTGTCTATTCATCAAATACTTTGAAAAATATCAGTTTTCCCAATTGTTTTTTAGATGTAAAAGATTGTAAAGAGATTGAAAATCTTTTTAAAAAACGTTCCAAATTTTTGTTATATTTGTTTCAAACTTTAAAGTGGCAAAAATGGAGATTTTTAAGATAAGCAGTATCATTTTTTTGTTTGAGTAAGTAATTCGGATACGACAGAAAACGTCCACAAATCAGTGCTTTTACCCTAACCCTAACCTAGCCCTTAGCTGTACCTAACCTTTTCCATTACCCCAAACCCTCAGAGGAGACCCTCTTTAATACAAATCAGTTTGCTGTTTTCTTTTGCCTAACCATTTCTCAATCCAAATTTTTGTCTTGAAATTTCTCATTTGTGGACGTTTTCCGTCGACCCCAGTAATTCATATGTAAAGAAACAACATTTTCTAATGAATGTTTGAAGTTTCTCTATCCAAAATGAAATTGACTCTTTGAAATAAACTTAATTATTAACAATTTAGATATTGACAATACAGCTGCTCTCTTTCCATCAAGCTTTATTATTTTGGGAATGCCTTTATATAAAGAAGGTACACAATTTGAAATTGAAACATCATTTGGTATATCTGGGACAGTTTGCGAGTAAGAATTTATTTTTGCAGATTTTCTTTCTATTCAATATCATCAATTTTATCTTTTTAAAGCCTATCATCAAACAGTGCTGATTATGCTTTTATTGGAACTACAGCTTTTTCAATAAGTCCGGGCACAGCCACTATAACACTGATAGCTGATAATGAAACAGAGGGTGAAGAATCTATAGCTATTCAAATGAATTGCAATAATGACGGAATTGATAGTATAATGACTACAGAAATTGCTATTCTTGATGCACCTGTAGGAAATGGTGATCCACACTTTAAACTACTTGCTCCAGATGAAAAGAGTAAGAGACTCCAGAATATATGTTTTGATGTGACTTCTATAACTCACAATAAAATAAATATTTTCCAAACCAACAAAGAAAATATTACTGTTTATGGAATTTTGAAAGATGATTACTATATGCATGAAATACAATTCCATATAGACAATGAACTTTTTAAGGCAACAATAGACGGTGTGCCATTTCAAGATAAAAATCTGATTAAATGGATTAATCAATCCATTGTATTTCATTCAAAGCACAGAGATATTAAAGCCAATTTAAAAATGATTTACTTTATATTTCTTTTCAAAGAAATGATGAAAATTTTTCTAAGAATAACTTTGTTGTAAAGAAATCAAGAAGCTTATCTGATGAATATCTAGATGTATAATCAATTTATTGCTAAAGTCTTAAAACAGGTTCCCTTCAT